AAGGTTTGTTGTCTAACTAGGTGCCAAGCCATGTGGTCTGGATCTGATAAATCACTATTATTTATAGCCCCAGCTCAATGGGATTAGGTGCGGTACGTCTAATCCATCTGCTTCCACTGTGCTCTGGCTCCGGGTGACCTCAATCCTGGAGGAACTGAGTCTCACGCTATTTCTGGACACCTTGGCCTCACCAAAATCTCTTTAACCTGCAACCCCTCGTCTGAAACCCAGGCTGCTCCTGCCATTCCCTGGCATCAAGCAAGCTGCCTCCTTCCCTGGCCCTGCTGTAGCTGGGTGATGCAGGGCCTGGCGGCTCCAGAGAAGGGTTTGAATTGGCCAGTGGGGGGGTGATGGCTCCTGATTCTTCAGCCCTCCTTTGCCCCTTCAGGATGTTCTTGGGTCTCTCCCCTTCCAGCGTCGTCCTGTTAGAAAAAGAAATAACCATTTCCCCGCTGCTGCCCAGCCTGTAGGGGGCAGCATGTGCCGCCATTCCCCTAGCCCTGTCTGCTCCTGCCAGGTGGCCTCACCTGTAACAGCCAGATCGGTGCCGTCTTCGTGCCATGCACGGAACACGCCTGAGAGGGCATCCTGGCCTCGTGAGGGCTGGAACGTCTCGCCCAAGGAAATTTTTCCTTCTCTGCCAGGTGTCACCTAGTAGCTTTGGCAGGCAAGGCTGAGAGGAGTTGGGATTCCCTTCTCCCTGAGATGATTGATGCCTTGGCAGGACCAGCTCCCGTACCTTACCAGCTGGAACCGTACCAGCGCCTGGTGGTTTACTAACTCTCGCTCTGTTTTTCTCCCTTTGCTTCCGCTCTTTGGGCTGCTCGGTGGTAAGTCGTTCTGCTTTACAAACCATTATTTTACCGGGGGGTTAGAACCCACCCCCAGATCCTGCTGCTGCCCTCAGATTTGGGACCATACCAGTGCCAGCCCCGTCCTACTGTCTGCAGCAGGTTGGGGCTGAAACCCCGGATCAAACCCGTCTGAGCTCTGGGGAAGTTTTTATCCAGGCCCAACCTCTGTAGCATAGGCCACATCTCTGGTGGTGTTTAAATTCAGTGACACCTTGGCAAACGGCAGCAAGGGTTTTCCAGGGGGCAAAGAGAATTTTTCATGGCTCCATGGGAGAGATGGGGCTGTCCACATCAGAGGCTCAGGTAGCTGATGGGCCACAGGGGGTTTCCATCCAAAATTTGTGTTTTTTGAAATGTTGTGCCCTTAATAGAGGTAACACAAATGTCAACAGTGTCACTACAAACTCATAGCTTAGTTGCAGGGAGAAAGCAGGGACCAGCAGAGAACATGAGCCAGGATTTCTGGGTTCTGTTCCTGACTTTGCCACTAGTTTTAAGAACATAAGAATGACCACGCTGGGTCAGACCAATGGTCCATCTAGTCCAGTGTCCTGTCTTCCAACAGTGGCCAATGCCAGGTGCCCTGGAGAGAATGAACAGAATAGGGAATCAAGAGATCCATCCCATCACCCGCTCCCAGCTTCTGATAAACAGAGGCTAGAGACACCATTCCTACCCATCCTGGTGAACTGATGGACCTATCCTCCATGAATTTATCTAGTTCTTTTTTTGAACCCTCTTATAGTCTTGGCCTTCACAACATCCTCTGGCAAGGAGTTCCACAGGTTGACTGTGAACTGCGTGAAGGAACACTTCCTTTTTTTGTTTTAAACTCACTAGTAATTTCATTTGGTGTGAGTCTACACAGCAGGGTTTAACTCAAAATAAGCTACGCAAATTGAGCTATGTCAATTGCATAGACTATTTTGAAATTGGGAGCATCTACACAGCACTTATTTTGAAATAAAGCACTCTTCCTCCAACTTCCCTCACTCCTCATACAATGAGGGTTACAGGAGTTGGAGTAAGAAGTCCTCCAGTTTGACAGTATTTCAACATTATTTCAAACTGCCTGCTGTGTAGACGCCAACTAAGTTATTTCGAAATAATGTTACTGTGTAGATGTACCCGTGGTGACTATTAGTTCTTGTGTTATGAAGAGTAAATATCTTAATTTATTTTCTCCACACGTCATGATTTTATAGACCTCTATCATATCCCCCCTTAATCATCTCATTTCCAATCTGAAAAGTCCCAATCTTGTTAATCTTTCTTCATAGGGCAGCCATTCCAGACCTCTAATCATTTTTGTTGCCCATTTCTGAACCTTTTCCAATGCCAAGATGTGCTCACCTTTTCTCAGTCTAATTAGCTCTTAATTGAATCCCACTTGTGAAGTAATGCCAGTGTTGGAAAGGCAAGCTGTCTACAAAGAGCTGGGAGATCCTCAGAGCAGGCGAGACAGACGAGCAGAAAGCGATTTGTGCCGTGATACCAGATGAGCAAAAAAACGACAGGCCTGTGACTAGAACGAACACTGGAATATTCCCTTCTCCAAAGTGTTCTTCACTGGCAGTCAAGCCCTGTGGGTTCCTAAACCCTGTACATAGAATCACAGAATACTAGGACTGGAAGGGACCTCGAGGGGTCATTGAGTCCAGTCCCCTGCCCTCCCGGCAGGACCAAATACTGACTAGACCATCCCTAATAGACATTTCTCTAACCTACTCTTAAATATCTCCAGAGATGGGGATTCCACAACCTCCCTGGGCAATTTATTCCAGTGTTTGACCACCCTGACAGTTAGGAACCTTTTCCTAATGTCCAACCTAAACCTCCCTTGCTGCAGTTTAAGCCCATTGCTTCTTGTTCTATCCTCAGAGGCCAAGATGAACAAGTTCTCTCCCTTATGACACCCTTTTAGATACCTGAAAACGGCTATCATGTCCCCCCTCAGTCTTCTCTTTTCTAAACTAAACAAACCCAATTCTTTCAGCCTTCCCTCATAGGTCATGTTCTCTAGACCTTTCATCATTCTTGTTGCTCTTCTCTGAACCCTCTCCAATTTCTCCACATCTTTCTTGAAGCACAGACAGGCGTATGGTGCAGGCATCACTCAGCAGGGTTTATTTGGTTAGCAGGTGGGTGTGCTTTAGAGCAACACTGGTTTGGTTTTGTTCTCAGACTGCACCCAGGCAATGTCTGGACTACAGAGCTTTTCCAGGATACCAGAGGTATCCCGGAAAAGTGATGCCATGTCCAAGGAACGCGTCCGCTTTTTCAGAACTATTTCCAAGAAAGCAGATGCGTTCTTTCACCATCCCTGTAATCCATATGGGGAAGAAGGGATGTGTCGAAAGAGGTTTTTCCAAAATTTGGCCTTGTGTAGACGGGTCAAATTTCAGAAAAGCCTTGTCCGAAAGAAAAGCAGAAAAAGATACACAAATTGTGGTTTGCAATTTACGTATCTTTTTCCGACTTTTCTTTGCAGCCCAGACATAGCCCCAGATACCACGGTGATGGGCACAACTCAGGCTCTAACATAAGTAAGTGTCTGTCAGCAGCCCTTCCCTGCTCTGTCATTGTGTTGGTTAGTTACAGACGGGCCTGAGCTTTTACGTCTGGCAAACTTCCCCAGGAGCTGGGCCAGGTTTGGATCCGAGTTCAGGTTCGGATCGAACCTGTGGCTGCGTTTCATGCTGTCCTCCCTCAGAGAGGGAAATAGCCACTGCTAGGACTGGACTCCCGGATTTGCCCTTACTACAAACTTCTTGCAACTAAATCTCTGACAAACTTTGGAGTCTATAAAAACAAACAAACATGGCTGACATTTTTTATTCCCAAATTTAGTGCTTCTAATTAGGTATCTTTTGCATGTATAGCAGGAGGGCTACTCCTGCCTGGCCCTCCCGCAGGACCTCTTAAGGGTAGTCCCACTGGCCTGAGTCTGAAACACAGTTTAAGTCTGGCCCTTTAAGGCAAGGCCAAGGCCCTCCGTCAGTCTATAAAAACAAACAAACATGGCTGACATTTTTTATTCCCAAATTTAGTGCTTCTAATTAGGTATCTTTTGCATGTATAGCAGGAGGGCTACTCCTGCCTGGCCCTCCCGCAGGACCTCTTAAGGGTAGTCCCACTGGCCTGAGTCTGAAACACAGTTTAAGTCTGGCCCTTTAAGGCAAGGCCAAGGCCCTCCGTCCCAAGTCCAAAACACAGTTCAGGGTTCTAGCGGGGGGG